ACCCTCGACACCCGAAGCACCTTCTTTCCCCGACATCTTACGCACCAACGAACAAAGAATAGACCCAAAACTGAAAAGATAAAGTCTTTACCAAAAGATCCCACATTTATCACCAATCTTCGCGCCAGAAGCACCGCCCTCGACACCCGAAGCACCTTCTTTCCCCGACATCTTACGCACCAACGAACAAAGAATAGATCCAAAACTGAAAGATAGAGTCTTTACCAAAAGATGCCACCTTTATCACCAACGAAGTCCTAAACGGGCCTCCAAATTGATCTACTCCTCCAACCAAACCCTAGATCTGGAATCTGGGCTCTGATACCACTTGTTGTGCGCAGCGGAAATTTTGGCAGAATTTCTGGTGCACAATAAGAGAAAAAGATCGATAAGAATTCTTGTTTCTCAAAGGGAACAAGAATCTGAAGCCTAATATCCCATCAAAGTGGGATATTTGCTCTTCCTCTCGTCAGCTCCAGGACTGCGCGTCGAGGGATCCTAAAAACTATTACAATGGCCACAAACTCAAACAATCAATTTTACGTGGTTCGACAAACTGCCTACGTCCACGGGGCAAGGAGGGGGAGATCTACTATTAGAGGGAGAGATACAATTAGGGTTTATAATCACTCAATCTAAACCCTCACACAATCTCTCAAACCTCTCACACAAATATCTCTCTCAAAAGTACAAAAGGACTCTTTGCACGCCGCCCAAAAAGAACGCTGCCAACACTTTTGCACTTTGCTTCCGCAGCCGCCAAAAGGCCCTCTCTCTTCTGCGATTTTTTTTCTCCAAAACCGCAAAAAACCTTTGCCTTTCTCCCAGCCGCCACAAAAGTTTCGTCCCCTCTGCTTGCTCACCGACCTAGGAATTGTTGAAAGATGATTATATAGCACAAAGGTGAAAGCGGGTGGGCCGACCTCTTTGTCCACTGAACAAAACAAAAAACTGAAATCTCTTCATGTGGCTTCTCCAATCACGTGTCCTTCATTCACGTGATTGATTTAGCTTTGCTTTCACATGGGTGGACCCCACATAATTCACATCACATACAATCTGTAATCCTCAAGTGAGTTTGAGTGAAAGTTATAATCCTCAAGTGAGTTTAGAGAAAGTGATCCTCAAGTTAAGTTATACCAACTTGAGAGAAGGCCATTTGTAAGCTTTCATTTGATTATAGTGGAAACGGTGAAGAAGGGCCGGGTGAGGACGTAGGCTCAATTTGAGCTGAACCTCGGTAAATCTTGTGTGTGCAATCTCTCTTTGTATTTTTTTCTTTTCTATTTTTGTTCTCATCTCATCACAAAGACGGGAAAGGTCTTGTTGTACTATTTATTTCCCATCAGAAAATTAGCTCTTATATCTATCTAAACTGTAAAAAGTGAAAAATAGCTAATGTTTTGGGAATGAAGATTTACTCTAATGATAACAAGAGGATAAAATTTAAGGGGGTTTTTCTAATCATTTTTCAATATTATATTTCTTTCTTCTATTCATTGTAAAATTTGTCTAATTCCGTTGGCAAACTGGAGTAAGTCAATAGAGTCTAGAAAGGAATACATAAGTTGGAAGTTTTCATGCCAATTCAATAATTGTCAACTCAAGTAAAATTTGATTATAATAGATCTTTTTGATTTGAGGATTTCAAAATGAACAATTTTTTACTTTAGCCCTTTTAAAATTTTTTATTATTAAAATCGACCCTTTTTTCTTTTATTTATCAAAACCGACCCGATTTCTTGATTAGCGGCTTAATCACATTCCTAATTAGTCGGGGTTGCCAACCCCGACTATTTAGGAGGGTCTTAAACCCTAATTAGAAGCCTTAAACCCTAAAAATTAATGTCCTAAATAGTCGGGGTTGGCAACCCCGACTAATTAGGAATGTGATTAAGCCGCTAATCAAGAAATCGGGTCGGTTTTGGTAAATAAAAGAAAAAAGGGTCGATTTTAATAATAAAAAATTTAAATAGGGCTAAAGTGAAAAATTGTTCTTTCAAAATCTCTAGATCGACTACTAGAAATGATTCAATTACAAAGAGTGTACTAATCTTTATATTACTTCTTCTTCTTCTTCTTCTTCTTCTTTTCCGGTGAAATAATAACTCTTCAAAGACTTGCTAAAAGCTGAGAGAATAACCAACAAAAAAGGAATATAAAATAGAATATATCATTAAATATTGTACAAAAACTTTCAAAAAAAATGTCATGACAAAAACTTTGGCTTAATCCACTACACATTGGCTAAGGGTGAAATTATCTCTACTCTCCAGTTTGATTATTTCCTAAACTAATAAACAATTTTCTTTGGTATATTCTCCTTTTTAGTTTTTCTTTAATCTTTCACTTGGAAGCATTCATTTACTCTTTTGCTTGGCTGTCATTTCGGTAAGACGCAGTCATTTAGGCAGAATTAACAAGATAACATTTTATAATTGTGTTCTCAATTTGTTTGATCCACTTGCATTTTGTAGATAGTGGAAGACAAATAAGGTTGTGATATGTCATTTAAGTTAATATGTTTGATTAAATATTAAATAAAAAATATCTCAATATACACCTGCACGTGTGAAGTTAATGTAGAGGTTTATATAAAAATGTAAGAAACTAATTTTTAAGCTAATGTGTAGCTAGAATTGAAATAATAACAACATATATATTGAAGCTAGTGTAAAATTAATCTATATACTAAAAAAATGTAAGAAACAAACTTTTAGATGCTAATATTTTAGTGTTAGAATTAAAAATAATAGCGAAAATTTTAAGCCGTTGAGGTTTATATAAAAATGCAAGAAATAAAATTTGAAGCTAATGTACATATTTAGAATTGAAGTAATAATCTTTTTTTGAGCTAGCATAGAGGTCGATATAAAAATGTAAGAGAAGTGTTATAAAGAAGAATTGTCTATATGACTAAAAAAACATATAAATCAAAATTATTAGATGTTACTGTTATTTAAGTTTGGTTCTAGATTCATATTGTCAATAACTAGCTTTCTCTAACATTTCCATATTTCAAATGAATCTCAATACTTTTCTTTTATATAACTGTTGATTCTTCAGTGGGGTGGGGGCTGCAGCCAATCTTTCCATTCTTTAAAGTTAATTTCTCAAGCAACAAAGACATAAAACATGTGTTTTCTAGAAAATTGGAAAATTATAAGAGAATTTGAAGGAAGACACGTACAAGTTCAAAATATTTCCTACATTTTCCAAATATTCACCAATTTGTGAAACAAATTAAGTAAATGAACCAAAGATGTCTTATGTCCACTGATTATGACTAGAGAAATTTGTTGTCAAAGTTTCTAGTACTTCAAAATTTATCTGTTCAATTAATATTTGGTCGTTTCCTCGTTGAATTTTTCAGACTAGTATCCCAAGAATTACAAAAATTAATTTATTGCCGGCGGTTTTCTTTTTCTTTTTTCCATTTTTTTTCTAGAAGCAGGCCGAAAATTGAACAGTACAAAGGTCTTAATCTCTTGATATTAAATACTGGATTGAATTCTCGTTTATGTGTCTACGTCATGAAAGGACTTACTTGTCAAAACAACATAGATTATGTCAATTAAGAAAACGTTAAATATATATATAATTGCTTGTTGATGATGTTGACTATTATCTGAAAAGAATTTAGACGAACCAATTTCATCAAATAATCAAGCTTATAAATAATTTGAAAAAACTTATAATATCCACCTTTAATTGTCGCTGATACAAATATCGAATTGTTGACTTTAGTCATCAACTGCCCAATCACAAAGAGGAGTAAACAAGTACGGACCGGCCTTAATCATGAATTCTGCTTCACTAAACACTTTTATCTGTTGAACTTAACTTTAATTCTTAGAGAATACTTTACTCCTTAGCAACATCAGCGCCATAAGCCATAATAATTGTTATAATTAACTATATTATACACAAAATCATATATACAAAGAGGAAGAAAGAGAATATATACTGACGTCCACTATCAAGTTTTAATTTGCGTAAACAAAAAGAAATTAAAACAAACAATTTAAAAAGAGAATGTAGTCCGAAGAGCCTCTAAATTTTATTCCTCTTCTCTAAGAAGACCCTAACTTTCTATTTTTGACAGAGAAAGAAGTTTTTGAAACAAAGATGCCCTTTAAGTTTTACTCATCTTCTATAAAAGCCCTCAACTTTCTATTTTTGAGAAACATGCCCCTAACTTTTGCTCCTCTCTTCTAGGAAGCCCCCAACTTTCTTTTTGTTTTTATTATTATTATTTTTTACAACAAAACCTCCAAGTTAACAAGAAGACTTGAGGCCTTCTTAGAAGAGAATGGTAAATTTAAAGGACTTCTTGGAAGAAAATGGTAAAACTTAGGGCTTCGGGTTCTCTCCACTACAAAAAAGTTAGCTGAGCGATCTCAACTTAATCATAACCATCAATTACTTAGCGTGTGGTTATGATTTTTTTCTTTAAATGTAAATTAGAAATGAGTGTAATACAGTGTGTACAATGAGTGCTAGATTTAGACTATATTATAATCACCCACTGGATAATTAACGGATAAAAGTGTTTAGTCCTCTTTGAAATTGATAATCCAGCACGAACCACGGGCCTCGGTTTTTCCCCTCATATTTTAATCAAAAGTCACGTCTGATGTCCCTACCCCCTCGCAAAACACGTGCCCAAAGAAACAAAAATACTGAAGAACAAGTCAGCGCCTTTTATCCCAAAATCAATCCAGCCGTACGTTACAATCCGGCAAAGATTCGGTTGAAAGCGGGCGACTAATTCCCGAATAATGCAACGCGCGACCGATTCCTACGTAGTAATTTTGCCTTTGCCGACCACTTCCTTTGCATTGAAGCCTTCCCCCTCTTTGACTATGTAATCATCATATCATGATTACACTGACTCAGAGCACAACCCGGCCCTCTTCTATATATAAGACCTCGCTTTGCTCAAAAAATTAATAGAAGCAAAAAAAGTTTTCCAAAAAATATAAATAAAAAAAATAAAGATGGTCGATCACCAAGTTGAGTGCTTGTGGTCTCTACTCTCCTTCATTGTTCATCTCTTCAACGTAGTCCGAAAAACCTTGTGCAACTTGTTGGCTAGTCGAAAAGCGCTGCGTCGACTAGATTCGAGCAAAAGAGCGCTTGTTAATAAATTAGGGTGCGGTTTTCAGGAGGAGGAGAAGGCGAAAATCGAAGAAGATGCGACGAAGAAGAAGAAGAACAATATGGTTGATCATGTTGGTGGTTGCGGAGCGAAGGGTTTGAAGAAGGCGAGGAAGAGGCCCGCGATGATTTCGATACCGGAGAACGTTAGTTGTGCTGATCAGTTTGTGAGGGAGGAGGAGGTTGAGGAGGAGAAGGATGTGGAGGTTGAAGGAGGAGGGTACTGTTTGGTTAGCAGGAGGGGGAAGAGGCATTTGATGGAGGATGGATATGGGGTCATTAGTGATATTAATGGTGATTCTAAGCAGGTAATTAGTTTTTGTTTATATTTTGAATCTATTTTGATTATATTATATGTAAAAGCATTAGCACTTGGTGTGGGTATTTATATAGGATATGATGATATTATAAGCTCTAACATTGAATTTTAGAGATGATGAGGTTTATGTTGGGGGGAAAATGCTGCCTATGAGTTAAATGAGCCTTCAATAGGAGGTCATCACATGTATTTTAATACAAGAAGTTCATACCCTCAAATTTTAATCGCCAAAAAATATTTGAAACTCTCTGCAGCTTAGTGATCATCACATGTATACGCAATTAACTCTGCGACAGAAAATAAAACCAAGGTTTTTCGTCGTAATCAATTCAGCAGATTGTGAATATCCTGAACTTATCGTCATTTTTCAAAATTTGATTTTTAAATGTAAATGTCGCTGTAACAGGCTGTTAATAAATGACAATTTTAACACCAATCCTCTATCTTATACGGCAGATCAAGCTAAAACTGCTAATTACTAGTAAATTATATGAACCGTCATCACGTTGAAACAGTCATTAATCACATTATAATCCAAAACTCTAAACAAATATATGGAGACCTTATTTGTCACGCATTAGCATATTAATTAACAATGTGACTGATGATTTGAGTCGTATATATCGATCGTTTTCAGGCTTTTTTCGGAGTATTTGATGGGCATGGAGGCCGAGCAGCTGTAGACTTTGTCTCTGAGAATTTAGGGGAAAATATAATAAGAGCTATCGACAGGCTTGAAGAAGGAGAAGACAAGTTAGAAATGGCAATGAGATCAGGATATCTGACTACAGATAGAGAATTCCTTAGCCAGGTATTTGAGCCAACTACCAACGACACGTACCTACATTTGGACGTGTCAAATTAATTACACGGATTTCATGTGCCATTTTGATTTGGTCTTAACTGATAGTTTGAGCTGTTGTATTGATGAAGGCCGTCTCAATATGAAAGTAAAAAAAGAAAAATATTGTACTGAAAGCTGAATAAAAATAAATAAATAAGTCCTCCATATATAGCACATAGGATAATGGAACACACAAGGAATTATTCACTGAAAATCATTATTTTCTCTTTAATAGGGTGTTAATAGTGGAGCTTGCGCCGCTACTGTTCTACTCAAGGATGGAGAGCTTCATATCGCGAATGTAGGCGATTGCAAAGTAGTGATGAGCAGAAACAAAGAAGCTAAAACCCTAACGGTCAGCCACAATCCGGGAACAGAAAATGAAAGAAATCGCATTGAGAGCTTGGTAAGCTCCCTCGCCCAATTTTTTGGTCCCATATTGGATGAGCAGTTAGATTGATAGATGGTTAAATACGTTTGGACTCATTAACTAATACTTTTTTTATCTGGTATCATCACAGGGGGGATATGTGAGTTGCAGAAATGGAACGTGGAGAGTTCAGGACTCGTTGGCGATATCAAGATCAATCGGCGACGCAAATTTAAAAGAATGGATCATTTCTGAACCTGAAACAAGATCAGTAAACTTAACTCCGGACTGCGAGTTTCTGGTATTGGCTTCTGATGGCCTCTGGGATAAGGTACCTACTTAGAACTGTGATACTGATATATTTCTCGACTCATACTGATACATTTCTCGATGCGGAAACTCTGAGAAAAAGAAACTCATATATGATTGAATTGTGCAGGTTAGTGATGAAGAGGCAGTGAATGTTGTATTGAAGAATCGAGAGTTTCATATATGATTGAATTGTGCAGGTTAGTGATGAAGAGGCAGTGAATGTTGTATTGAAGAATCGAGAGTTTATGAAGTCATGTAAAGATCTTGTTGAATGATGAAGAGGCAGTGAATGTTGTATTGAAGAATCGAGAGTTTATGAAGTCATGTAAAGATCTTGTTGAGATGTCTTGTAGAAGAGGTAACAGAGATGATATAACAGTTATGATTGTTAATCTTCAGAGTTTTGTTTAGTTTTAGTGGGTATATATAGATAAGCTCTCATTTGGGCTTTGTGTATAATTTTTTATCTTCAAGCAATTTGCTCAATGTTTTGTAGAAGACCAGGCAGAGGGAATATTGTAAAAGAAATGAGGATGCCTATTTGGAAAATATTAGTTTTGTTAAATGGAGAACGTTGAAATTAGCTAGTTTTGTTGTATTTGGATTTGTTTTTTTAATGTAATATTTATTTCATTTGTTGGAGGATTATAGGCATAATTACCAGATTGGTACCTTTACTAGGACCATATTTCCAATATGATAATAAAAAAAATTCACTTGCGATATTATCATATTAATGTCAAGGGAAAATTATGTCAAGGCCCTAACAATAGGAAGCCCATGTGACGTGGCTCTCTATATTTTGGACATTGTGTTTATCATATTAATATCAAGGGAAAATTATGTTCAGGACACATTAAATGCGGTTTTTTTGGGTTTGATCCGCAATGAAAAAAGATGGATGGGTCAAGTCACATGAGGTTATTATAATTGGGGTCTTGACATAATTTTTCCTAATATCAACATTTGATGTCAATTTGATATTATTTTGTATATACAAAAAATAACTAAATTGCTATATTAAGTGGTAGAAAAAATAACAAGATTGATATTAATTTTGATATTAATACTATAATATCACAAGCGAAAGAAAAAAATATCATGTGAAAAAAAGGGTTCTCTGAAAAATACCGATTTGGTAATTTAGCCGATGCTTAACTATCACGTTCTTTTGTCCTTGTTTTTACCTGACATTAGACTAATGCAACTTGTATTATTTAGACTTTCAGATAATAAAACATACTTTGTCTCCTTTTTTTTATCTGAGCTGATTAGCATCACTTTTTTTGGCCAAACAGAGACAATTTATTATTTTATTTTTAATATAATAAAAACTTCTATAAAAAAGGGTTACTTTCACAAAATCCTTCTAAACTTTGTTTACCTTTAATAACTCACTTGAGCTGTGATGTGCCTCACAAGTCACAACACCCCTCTAACTTTAGCTTGCCGCACCTAACTCTCCTACTTGTAATTTACAAATAACTAAAATTTTATTGCTCGTAAGCAACAAGGGATAAAGTTTAAGAAAATTTCACTCAAAGAAATTTTAGTTATTTCAAGTTACAGAGAAGTTGCTTAGTGAGATAAGCTAAAGTTCAGGCGGGTACAAGCCCATAGTTTAGGGGGTTTATATGAGATAAATAAAGTTTAGAGGTGCTATGTGCAACACCCCCCAAACTTCGGGGGTGTATTGGGAAGTTAACCCGTTAAAGAATATTAAAGTGCTACAAGCCATAAAGTGCAAAATATCTCAAGATCTTGTGGGGCTTTCAATTTAAGTGCAAACTACCCTTTTTTTCAAAAAAAAATGGATAAGATAAAAAGGCAATATTAGTTAAGTAATATCTCAGTCCTCCACTAAGAGGACACCTGTCCCCTTCTCTATATTCCAAAGCTCTGCTCTCACTCCAAATCCCAAATCCCAAATCCCAAATCCCTAACCCTAACCCTCCTCCCCTCCATCAAAGATCCAATCTTTTCTCAATCCTCTCAATACCAATTCAATGGAGCCGCCAACGGATATCGAGGATTGGGAAATTCTCAACGAATCAGACTCAGCCCCGAATCCCAAACCCTTGGAACCCATCGATTCCGAGGACGGCGCGATCAAGCCTGACTACTTCTCCTTGAATCCGACCAAACCCCAGCGGAAATCCGAGGACGAGATCGATGAGGGCGTCGTCGATTCCGATAACCCTAGCTGGCTCGATCCCGATTCGGATTCGAGGTATACCAACAACAAAATGATTACTATTTCTTCATTCAGTTATACAATATCAATGAAAATCTAAAATTTAGAATCCCAAAGTTGATGTGATGTAGGGCGCAGCAACAGAGTTAGGCAGCTTTAAGGGTTTTCTGAAACATTGACTTTTTACATTTCTTCAAAATTTTATTGAAATAGTTGATGTATACGGGAGCATAGGTAATGTTAACAATTTTTTTTATTTGAAAATCTGTATGTTCAATTTGGATTGATAATATCACTTTTTGGATGCTACTGATAGTAGTGTAGATTAAATGGTTTTGCCCTGTTGTTTAATCTTATCATTTCTCCCGACTACTGCATTTTAGTGATCTTCACTGTATATGATCAAATCGCCTTAGTTGAATAGAAGCAACATCGAATCTTACAAATGCACTTCTTTCTTAGCATGTGTTTTGCAGCAAGATCATTGTAACATTCTCATTTCTGCTACACTTGCACATGTAATTTTTTAGTTGCCCCATGTTTTTTTAATTGCCCGACATTCTGACCATCATTCGAGGTACCAAGCAATCTCAAATTCTAGAAGCTGTTGGTCCCGTTGGTCACTGCGGCACAACCGCGCGCGCCGCTGGCGTGCTGGCGGAGATAGGTGGGCCCCAGTTCGACGCCGAGAGGAATCTGGAAGCCCTCGCTTTGAGGAAGAAAAGGGAGGGTGAGGTTGAAAAGGGCTTTGATGGGTGGAGGAGAACGAGGAGGTTGGTGGCGGTGAATTGGGGAAAGGTGGGAGCTTTGATGGGAATGAGGAGAGGGTTTGGTGGAGGATGCCATTGGAGGTGCTGAAGCAGTGGGTTTCAAGGGCGAGGCCTGTGTGGTCGATCTCCATCATGGCGGCCATTGTTGGGGTTGTGATGCTGGGAAGGAGATTGTACAAGATGAAGCAGAAGGGGAGGCGCATCCCTTTGAGGATCGCTATTGATGACAAGGTGAGGTTTTTTTTAATTACTTTTTTTTACTTCTTTTGGATATGTTGTTGTCATGTGATTTGAGATGGATTGGTGTTCAAGATGAGGGTCTTGCTTCTAAGGACTCAAATAATGAGGGAAGAAATAAGCAATAATATATTTGGAAGTTTAGAACCATGTTCTTTGCTTTCTATGATGAAGGGTCATAACAAAGGATTATAGTCGTTGGTTTTCTACTAATATGATAATGCTTCATCCCTCTTCTATTATTAAGGACCCATTGTGTCAAATAACTGTGGGAAAGATTTTCGTTGCACTTCGTGGAGAACCTTGTTGAGAAAAGAGTCTAGCCACCTCTGTGCCATCTGAAAGAGTTACTCCTTTCCAGAGAAAATATACCTTCTTTTGTTGTTTTCCATTTGAAAATATTTATTTATGATAGAAAATTATGATGTGATAAAAATTTAAAAACACATCTTAGGGCTTAAGTGTTTTAATTAAGTAGAAATCCTGATATTGGTCTGGAATCTGGATTTAGGATTTAGGTTTCTGTCATCCATTTGTAGTGCCGATTAAGTATGTGCTGAGTTTAGCATCATGCTAAGATCAGGAAAACTAGGATGCTAGAACAAAGGTCTACCATATAGAGAAGTGACTAATTTTGGGAGAGAGGATGGAGATACCAATTTTTTCAATCATGCTATTATTAGGTTCGTCCTATTATTAGGGATTCTATGGTGAAAGGTAGTGGAGAATTGCTAGTATGTACCATATATCATGATAAGTTATTATTGTTATTCCTAGAGGTGTTTTGGTAATTCTTGAATAATGCCAATGATTGCTATCTACGTTTCATACAACCAAGAGCGATGAGCATTTGATTGTCTACTGGATGTGGGAAGGATCATTCAGAGTCCAGCTTAATACAAAAATCTACTTTTTCTTTAGAGATAGCTTTGGAAGAAAGGAGATGGTGGAGAAAGCCACTTCCTTGGGATGGTAACTGACCTAAAGATGGCCAAAAGGCTCAATTTGTGGTGGATCTTGGGCTTACCTTATCAATGCTTACAGGCAAGGCAGGCCTAGGCCCAATTACAAATGGACTAGTGGAGTTTGGCAGTTATATGACCTCGTATAGAATATCAATTGCTAGTTGCCGTGTTTTATTGTCGGATTGGAGTTTACATAACCATTATGTGATCCATTTTTTGGAGGAAGGTAGCATATTGTGTTGGAGACACAAAATGTATAACTAAGAATTTCTTGCTTGTTATGTTCGTATAGGAATGTCCTTGTCCATGCAACAAATGTGAGAGGAGAGCTCAGAACTTGGAAGATTACTCCCAATGAAAATGTTAGTAAATTGTAGAAATTATATTGCATAAATAAGAAAGCTACAAGATCTTTTGAACTTCTATACAATGCACACTGCTTTCTGCTAACGCCCTCCTTTTGTACATGGTTTCTTCATAGCCAAAGGGTGGATTTAGGTGGGAAGAAGGTGCAAGCATTAATTTTGACACTAATAATGTCAAATGCCTTCAGGCTAGGCTCGGTTTGGACCTAGGCTGTCAAGGTTCTGGTTTACTGGGCCTAAAATTACACAAGAACCATTGCCAGTTGTAATTTCCATTGATTAATACTCGTATTATACATGTGCCTATTAAATACTGATGAATCATGCATTTAATAAATTCCATATCCATATCTATATACCTAGTTTCAATATTTTTATTTAATATTTAGAATATTCGTCTATACAAAAGAGTACTACTCGAAAGGAATATACTCCGGCAAAAAAGGTACCGGCAGTTAGAAGATTGGAACAGTTAGTAACCTTGTGACTGGCATAAAATTTATTTCTTTAAGTGGAACAAATGTCTTTGAGCAGCAATGAACATCCATAATTGACTTTGTTAACTATGATATTCCTTCTATAATGAACCTTGAATTTCATTCGTTTAACATTAAGTTTATTAACTTAAGATTAGTTGCAACATTATTGACTCTTGTCCTTGCTTAAATATCTATCAAACTTTTGATCATATTTATTTGCTAGCGTACAATAAACTTCTGTCCACAACTACTAGTATTTCCTCCTGATTTTATGTCTCTCTCTCTCATTGTGTAACAAAATCTTGCAGAGGGCATCACAGTTCGTGGCCCGTGCTGCACGTCTCAACGAAGCGTTCTCTATAGTGAAGCGTGTTCCCGTCATAAGACCTTCTCTTCCAGCAGGCAGCGTCACTTCTTGTTCCATGGCTTCCTTGAGATAATGCAGAGGGTTGCTTTTGTGGATATTGAAGAGCTCTGTCTCCCTTCCCTTTGGTACTATTCTTTCTTTATGAAAGAGAGTTGTTATCCTTTATATTGGAAGTATTTATGGTGTATAAACTTGTATGTAATTGTGATTATTACTCTTTTAGCCTTGTCTTGTAACTTATTGTGATTGGGTTTGTAAGCTTGATATGTATTATATAGTTTCCCCCCCTTTCTTTGCATGTAATTGCATCCTAGAATACTGATGTGTGCTGTGTGATGCTTTTCCAGTTTTCCTGAACCAAGAGAGGAAGGTATATGAATAATCTTTACGCTAGAATTTATCAATTGTGTGAATTTTTGGCTCATCATGAATTATGAAGGAAAGCATATAGATTTCTGTATCAGTCCGTTTTCCTTCAAATTTTCTCGCAATGAAAGTTATACTTTTTTTAGAACAATTTGTGTATCTGAACTAGATTTCAAGGATAATGGCTACGAGCTCTACGTGCGATGCCTACGGTGGCTGTTATTAATAGAGGGGGAGGGTGAAAAGTATTTTAACCGTACGATATGGAAAGAAGTTAAAAATATTTTAGTACGTTGGATATAAATTTGTAATGATATATTGGCTTTGACTCGCCGTCTACATCGATGTGGACGTGCCGGAGTGGTTATCGGGCATGACTAGAAATCATGTGGGCTTTGCCCGCGCAGGTTCGAGGCTCATCATGAATTATGAAGGAAAGCATATAGATTTCTGTATCAGTCCGTTTTCCTTCAAATTTTCTCGCAATGAAAGTTATACTTTTTTTAGAACAATTTGTGTATCTGAACTAGATTTCAAGGATAATGGCTACGAGCTCTACGTGCGATGCCTACGGTGGCTGTTATTAATAGAGGGGGAGGGTGAAAAGTATTTTAACCGTACGATATGGAAAGAAGTTAAAAATATTTTAGTACGTTGGATATAAATTTGTAATGATATATTGGCTTTGACTCGCCGTCTACATCGATGTGGACGTGCCGGAGTGGTTATCGGGCATGACTAGAAATCATGTGGGCTTTGCCCGCGCAGGTTCGAATCCTGCCGTCCACGCCTTTTTTTATTCTTCTTTTCTCCTTCCTTTTCTCAAGGGCAAATTTTCAAATAGACCTTATTAGAACTTTATTTATAAATATCTACCTATTAGTAATTTATTTATCATTTTCGACCTAGTTGGCTAAGTAATTAAGCGACTAAACTTTACGGGATTCTAAATCCCATAAAGTTTTCAAGACTTATTTATCATTTTCGATCCAGTTCCAACTATTGGGTCTTGGCTGAAATTGGGTCAAAAATGATAATTAAATCTCAAAGGGGTCGATTTTACAAATAAAGTACTAATAGAGACAATTTTGAAAATTTATCCTTTTCTCAATGTTTAACATTTTCGTTGAGTTTTATTAGTTCTGGATCTAAACTAATATTTCCTTAAATAATACATTGATTTTGGTCGAGAAAAAGTGATGGATCCACTCGGCAAATATTATTCATAGCAAGTGAAACACGGATACATCGAACTTATAACAAGTTATTGTTAATGTATATAATCTATTATGTTTGAAGCAATGTATGTAATCTATTATGTTTGAAATAAAGTACTTGTCATCTAGACTGTGAAAATAATCCTATTTTATTGACAGAAAACATCATTGATCTGCCATATTATTATGTGGAAAACACCTCGAGTATAAGGAGATTTTTAGATAATATATTTTATGTGACAGAAAACATCATTGATCGAACTTATAAATAATATAATTCATAATTTATGTGATGTACGCTATTTATGCGATGAAATATTTATTCTATTTATTTTATTGCTCATTGAATTATAGTATAATTCTTAATAGTATTCAGTAATATATTATTCTATTTAGACTTTATTTTAATTATTTTATTAATAAATAATTATAATAACAATTTAATTGCTTACTACTAATAGTTGTGTATAGTTATCTTATAAATTATTTTATTATATTATTTTTAAATAATTAATAATTATAATATTATTGATAATTATAATTATTTTGTACGATAAGAGATTACATATTTAATAAGAGATTATATTTATTTAATCAAAGATTAATTAGAGATAATAACATTGTTAGACTTTATCAAAGTTTAAGAGGGTAAAGAAGGAAATTAAAAATTTTAACACTCTGATCCTCTTTTCATAGCAGTGTAGATAGATGTTGAAGTTGTTATGCTTTCGCTGTAACTTTGTGACACATTTGTCGCTACATTTACAATGTACTTTCAAAATAAATACTTTTAACTGTTATTTCTTTGGCAAAAGTAATATAATGCCATTGCAACTGCGTATGAGTTATTTGCCTAAAACCCAAAGTTTTACTCCTATTTATTTTTAAACCCGCTCACTTGTTAACTTTGTTTGTCTCATATAACTCCCTAAACTACATGTGTCTTACAAAATACTCCATGAACTTTATCTTATTTCACCTAGCCCCTTGCATGTAATCTGTAAGTAACTAAAATTTTCTTGAGAAAAAAAAACTCAAATTTTAGGGAAAGGAGTATGTTACCTATTAATGACAGATGATAAAGTTTGAAAACTTTTCACTCAAAAATATTTTAGTTATTTGTAAATTTATGACAGTGGAGTTAAGTGAGACCAGCCAAAATCATTCTTGGATCCAAACTACTTCACAGATTCTTTTTGAAGTGACTTTATATTTTAGCATTTTTATATATGGTGTAAGTTGTTATTTTATTTTATTTTTATAACTTTGATTTTCGAGTGGTTAAATATACAATTTGTTTTTAAGCTTTCAACATAAAGGTTAAATATACAATATATTTTTAAATTTTGAGGGGTTTAAAAGTAATATTTTTAAATTTTCAGGGGACAAAATTTTCAAAATGGCTTCGCCCGGACTCGAACCGGAGACCTTCAGTGTGTTAGACTGACGTGATAACCAACTACACCACGAAACCAATTTATAAGCTAATAAATACAAACATATTTATAGTTTAATTTTCACCTACGAATCATGTTAATCTAATTTATGTCAAATTATTCGTGACCTTATGGCTACAAAATGACGCACTCGTCAGTGTGTCTAATCACACCCTAGTTCTAGTTAGGGGTGGGCGTGGATGTGGGCCGGGTCAAATCAGCCTCGTGATTTAGCCCACCGGCTTCAAGTCCAGGTCGGGTTTGATCCAGGCCCACCCAAGGTAGAGTGGATCAGACTTACTTTTCTGATCCTGGGTTTAGAGTTGGACCCGGCCGGCTCACGACTTATCTAGAGGCGGGGGCCGGGTCAGGCCCGTCCAATTGCCCACGGATCGTGGGTTGGCCCGTGAGTTTTTTCAACTTTTTTCTAATTTTTTTTCATTTCTAATTTCTAAACCATATTAGCTTTGTATTCGTATCATTGAATTATAATTAAAATTTCCCCCCTATTTCACTCTTTATTTAAAATGATAAACACACACACACACACAAAAGATAGACATCACACAGAAAGAACATCATGAACACATAGATCGATATACACGTGATTTGGACTTCGAAAAAAGATCTACGCGCGTCCACAGAAAGTTAATAACATTCCTTTAATTTAAATTTAAATTACAAATACAAGAGGAAAAAAGGGGAAAAATTATTAATCATTAATGTTCAAGGAGCCGAATTCCTCTAAGTTATATACGTCATGTTTTTCAAGGAAAGATGTTGCTTGATGTCCTTATGACTATGCTTTTGCATCAAGCCGAGTCTATGGTTGGCTGGTCCCGACCGATGGTGGGCCGGGACTATTTTTAAACACAATATCAGCTTAAAAATTTCAAACTCACTTGAATTCTTCTTCTTCTCAAATCGTTAAAAAGAACCCTAACCCAGGTTAAGTTTCACAAAGGTTTGAAACATTAGAGAACGTGAGAGAGTTTGATGACTGCAAATGTTGAGTTAGGTGTTAACCCGACCTTGGTAAGAATTTTTTAATTGAAAACTAATAGAGATCATTTAATAAGCCCCTATAGGATTTAAGGGACTAATATACAATTTTTAAATTTTAAGAGCCTAATATACAATTATTGAATATTGTAAGGAACTAATATCTATAAAAAAAACCTTTTATTTATGGGGACACATACACAATGAGATTAGGTGACCTCTTCCCTTTACATTAATGTATAATGTACATATCTTAAAAGTTTTACATCAGCAAATATTTGAAAATGTAATCGATTTTACTTCAAAATATTAAACGTATAGAGATCTCTTAGTGCATGAGTGGAACAATTCCAGTGGATGATCTGTTACATTCATCATCGTCTATGTATCCTAAAACATCTATAAATAAAACTTTTTGATATGTCCAGATGTCTAACTCATAATTTATGTTGGTTGTACAGTAGTAGAACTTGATTTCGCAATTATTTGATGCATGCCTACTTAAAACGCAATATACTTTTTTTTATTACTATGTAATTAGCTAATTTTGTATGTCTTAATTAAGTTTAAATTCATATCGTCAAGGAGGGCTTACAAATTTCAAAATATAGGTTATGAGTGGTAGAACTAGAGTGCCGGAGAAGCAGTATACAGAGAAAACATAATCCCGAAGAATATTATGATTATGCGGCAAGCC